GCGGGTGCTCTCGACTGAGTTCAGGTCAAAAAATCAATATTGTTGATGATACATGCGAACAATTAAACATATCTAACAATCAATTTAAAACATAAAGAAGCCACAAAAGCAATTATACAATAAAGCTTTCGCTTTGAAAGATAATGACCCTGAACCAGACATAGCAAAGGGTTTGACCCCTATGCGGCAATATGCGTTCAAAACTTTTATGCTCAAGGCTGCTGCAGTTCGCAAAACTTATCGCAGTTTGCTGCGTTCTTCATCGATCCACGAGCCTAGTGATCCACCGGAAAGGCTAGGAATTTTGTTTTTTTTAAAATATAAAAAAAGAGTGCTGGCGTCCTCACTTAAGAGGCTCATTAAGTCTTAAACTCATTATAGTCCTAACATGTCACCACATATACAGCCACGGACGTTCACAACTGTATCAGCAACACCTAGACACCAGCGACAGCCGTTACACAACAATTATTTCATTGCGATTCAAAATTGAACATCACATAAAGTAATGATCCAGCAGCAGGTTCACCTACAGCTACCTTGTTACGACTTTTGCCCGGTTCAAGCCACTGCGATTAAATTGGTTTCCATCAAGCTTTCCATAAATTGGTTTCCATAAATTGGTTTCCATCAAATTGGTTTCCACCAGCGACAGCCGTTACACAACAATTATTTCATTGCGATTCAAAATTGAACATCACATAAAGTAATGATCCAGCAGCAGGTTCACCTACAGCTACCTTGTTACGACTTTTGCCCGGTTCAAGCCACTGCGATTAAATTGGTTTCCATCAAAATAATTTAGATAAATTAAATCAACGGTCCCCAAATTTCTCGAAATGGCTCAGTCCCGGGCAGCGACGGGCGGTGTGTACAAAGGGCAGGGACGTAATCAACGCGAGCTGATGACTCGCACTTACTTGGAATTCCTCGTTCACGGAAAATAATTGCAATTTCCGATCCCAATCACGGCAAATTTTCAATGGTTTACCCGCCCCTTTCAGGGTAGGACAAGCACGTTGATTTTGCCAGTGTAGCGCGCGTGCAGCCCCGGACATCTAAGGGCATCACAGACCTGTTATTGCTCAATTTCTTTCGGCTGAACGCCGCAAATCCCTCTAAGAAGCTGTATACACAAAGAGTATGTACCAACTATTTAGTAGGTTAGAGTCTCGCTCGTTATCGGAATAAACCAGACAAATCACTCCACGAACTAAGAACGGCCATGCACCACCATCCACTGAATCATGAAAAAGCTATCAATCTGTCAATCCTCACAGTGTCCGGGCCGGGTGAGTTTCCCCGTGTTGAGTCAAATTAAGCCGCAGGCTCCACTCCTGGTGGTGCCCTTCCGTCAATTCCTTTAAGTTTCAGCTTTGCAACCATACTTCCCCCGGAACCGGAAGACTTTCGTTTCCGGGAAGCTCCCCACCAAGGCAATATAATTTCCATCAGCGGATCGCTAGTTGGCATCGTTTACGGTCAGAACTAGGGCGGTATCTGATCGCCTTCGAACCTCTGACTTTCGTTCTTGATTAATGAAGACATTCTTGGCAAATGCTTTCGCTGTAGTTTGTCCGGCCACGGTCCAAGAATTTCACCTCTCACGGGGCCATACAAATGCCCCCGTTTGTCTCTGTTAACCATTATCTCAGTCCGTAAAACCAATAAAACTGAACCGAAATCGTTTTCTATTATTCCATGCACGATCATTCAAGCGAAAACGCCTGTTTGAAGCACTCTGATTTGTTCAAAGTAAACTTGCAATGACTGTTAAAAATCCTGTTAAGGACTCAAAACCGAACATTACGATAAATCGATAACACCCAGAAACACCCGAAGGGTTCCAAGGTACCGATACGAATCCAACTACGAGCTTTTTAACCGCAGCAATAATTCTATGTATTAGCAGAGCTGGAATTACCGCGGCTGCTGGCACCAGACTTGCCCTCTGCTTGATACTCGTTAAAGGGTTTAAATTGTACCCATTCCGATGACCGGCCTCAAAGAGAACAGTCTCGTTATTTCTCGTCACTACCTCCTCGAGCCGAGAGTGGGTAATTTGCGCGCCTGCTGCCATCCTTAGACGTAGTGGCCATTTCTCAGGCCCCTTCTCCGGAGTCGAACCCTGATCCTCCGTTATCCGTCACCACCACGGGAGTCGATTATGCTCGCGTCAAGTTGATAAAGTGGACGCTTGAAAGACACGCCGCCGGCACAAGGCCATGCGGTCAGCTTAGTTATTCTGAGTCAACAAGAAGCAGCCGAAGCCGCGTGGTTTTGTTCTAATAAATGCGCTTTTCCGAGAGGACAAAGCTCTGGTGCATGTATTAGCTCTAGCTTTTCCACAGTTATCCATTTAGATAATCAAGATCAAGTAAATCATGGCCATTGTAATGAGCCGTTCGCGGTTTCTCGTTAAAACGATTAAACTTATACATGCATGGCTTAATCTTTGAAATGAACACATCAGTTCAGGCAGGATCAACCAGATATCTTT